GGGGACGCACAGGGCGCGGACCATCCCGAGTCGGGATATCCCACAGCAGCAGGCCGGCCGTGTGGCTGGGGTTTGAATCAAGAGGTAGGGGTCAGGGACATCCGCCTCCGGAGAGGGGAGGGTGCTCTGAGCTGGGCCAGCTGGAGCCAGGGAGGAAAGTGCCTCCTGGTGCCAAACTCCAGAGAAGACCCCTCACCCCCCCATCTGGAAGCCAGGGGTGCAGTCAGCAAACTTCCGGGGGCAGAAGGAGGAGGAGGCCACCACACGGGGTCAGGGAAGGCTCCGCAGAGCAGCCATCCCTGAAGGGACACCGAGGCCACCTGGGCCCCAGGTTAGAAACCCCCGCCAATGGGAGGAAGTTACCTACACGGTGACCCGGCTGGAGCCACGACACAAGCTGCCACAGTTCCGAGAACTGGCCTCCAAGAGATGGGAACAAACCGACACTGGAAACACTGTACTTGAAACAATCAAGATGATGCCGGTCAGACCACTGATGGCCAATTTCAAGATGACTGTCAGTTGATTGATTTTCTCTATTGATTTTCTTCTTCTATTTCCTTGGTTTTTTTGCTCTTATTTTTATCATTTCCTTTATTTTGCTTACGTGGGGTTTGATTTACTCTTGTTCTAGTTTCTGAAGGTGGGATCATAGGCCATTATGTCGAGAACTTTATTTTTTCTCATACAAGTGTTAGTGCCAAAATTTTCCTTCTAAACACTGCTTTAGCTGCATCCACTAACTTTGATATACTGTGTTTTCATTTTCATTCAGTTAGAAATACTTTCTAATTTCCTTTAAAATTTTTCCTTTAGCCCAGCGGTTATTTAGAAATGTGTTGCCCAGTTTCTAAATATTTGGTGATCTTATGTTTCTGTTCTTGATTTCTTGATTTAACTCCACTGTAGCCCAAGAAAATATAATTTGTAGGATTTCAATCCCTGTAAATTTGTTGAGATTTATTTTATGGCCCACAATAGGTCTATCTTGATTAATATTCTGTGTGCCCTTGAAAAGAACGGGCTCTCCTTCTGTACTTATCAAGTAGGTCACATGGGCTGGTGGTGTTGTTCAAGTCTCCTTTATCGTTATTCATTTTCCGTTGACTTCTATGAGCTCTTAAGAAAGGAGTGTTGGGCTTCCCTGGTGGCGCACTGGTTAAAAATCCCCCTGCCAATGCAGGGGACACGGGTTTGAGCCCTGGTCCGGGAAGATCCCACATGCCGCGGAGCAACTAAGCCCATGCGCCGCAACTACTGAGCCTGCGTGCCTAGAGCCCATGCTCCACAACAAGAGAAGCCACTGCAACGAGAAGCCCGCCCATTGCAACGAAGAGTAGCCCCCGACTCACCACAACTAGAGAAAGCCCGTGTGAAGCAACGAAGACCCAATGCAGCCAAAAAAAAAAAATTCTCTAAGAAAGGAGTGTTGAAATCTCTGGCTGGAATCATGAATTTTCTTTTTCTTCTTTTTGTTCTATCAGGTTTTTTGGCTTTGTATGTTTTGAAACTCAGTTGTTAGGTGCATAAACATTTAGGATTGCTATGTCCCCTTAATGAACCGACCCTTTTATCATTATGTAACGTCCTTCTTTATTCCTGGCTATATCTTTGGCTCTAAAATCCACTTCATCTGATATGAGTGTGGTCACTCCTGCTTTCTTTTAATTACTGTGAGCCTGGTGTCTCTTCCTCCGTGCTTTGCCTTTTAACCTACATGTGATCTTACATGTACAGTGGACTTCTTGAGGGCAGCAGAGACATGGCTCTTTCTCTTTTTATTTAATCTGACAACCTCTGCTTCCTAGTTGGGGTGTTTGGACCTTTCAGTGTGATTAGAGGTGTCATGGGTTTAACTCTCTCATCCTGCCTTCTGTCTTCTCTCTGTCCCACTTGTTCTTTTTCCTTTCCCCTCTTTTTCTGCATTCTTGTCAATGACCAGATTACTCTCTGTGATTCCATTTTATCTCCTTTGTTACTTTATTAAGTAGAGCTCTTTGATTTTTCTTTTCTTGCTCTTTCTTTACTTTTTTTTTTTTAATTCTAGAAAAGAATTCTTTTTGCCTTTGCATGTCTGAAAATATATTTATTTCCCCTTCACTTTTCAGAGATATTTTTTGGGGGCATATAATTCCAAGTTGTTTGTTTTGTTTTTGTGTTTTGGTATTTCAAATGTTGCTTCACTGTGCTGGCTTGTACTGTTTCTGACAAGAAATCTGCCGGCGTCCTTCTCTTCTTGTGCATCACACAATGTCTGCTTCTAGTGGTTTCTCTTTGTCACTGTTTTTTAAAAATTTAATTTATTTATTTTTGGCTGCGTTGGGCCTTTGTCGCTGTGTGCAGGCTTTCTCTGGTTACAGCGAGAAGGGGCTACTCTTCGTTGCGGTGCATGGGCTTCTCATTGCAGTAGCTTCTCTAATTGCGGAGCACGAGCTCTAGGAGCGTGGGCTCAGTAGTTGTGGCTCGCGGGCTCTAGAGCGCAGGCTCAGCGGCTGTGGAATCTTCCCGGACCAGGGCTCGAACCTGTGTCCCCTGCACTGGCAGGCAGATTCTTAACCACTGTGCCGCCAGGGAAGCCCCTATCACTGGTTTTAAGCAATTGATCACGATGTGCTTTGCTATAGTTTTCTTCAATTTCTTGTGCTTGAGGTTCATTGAATTTCTGGGTTCCATGAGTTTATAGTTTCCCTGAGGGGAATTCAGGATAGAGGAAAACAGGATACTTGCCCTAAACAGCTAAGATGCACATCAAAGGAATAATTTCAATGAGCCCAGACTCTTGCATCTTCCCGAACAGAGAAAAGCACTAAAATCATTAACTTGCAATGTCTGCGTTTTGTGACTAGCAGTGATCTTTTGATGTTTGAGTACATTTGTTTGTTTGTTTTTTCCCAGCAAGAACTCCTATATGTCCCGGCTCCTCCCTTACCTCTTTGGACCAGTTCCTCAGAGCTGAGAGGCTGTCTCCTGGGCTATAGTCCTCAGTAGGGTCCCCAAATAAAATATTAACTCAAGACTTTTAGGTTGTGCGGGGTTGTAATTTTTTCAGTTGACACAAGGTTTCTCCTCCAGCCCTGTGTGAGCTCTGGGAACGCTTGTGCCTGCTCCTTCCACATCTTGGGGCTGGTTCCTCAAATGTGTGCACTGAAGGGCCCTCAGCTGAAGACACAGGCACCCTCTGCTGACCTCCCCAGCGCTGCGGGTTGGAGAGGGGACAGCTCTCTCCTCTGCCCTGTGAGATCCAGCTGCTTTGGCTTCCCTGAACTCTCCCCTCCTCAGTCAGAGTCCTGGCTCCGTCTGGGTTTCCCCTCCCTGCTCTGTGGCCTGCAGCTCCTTTGTCTCCCCTACCTCCAGGGTCACGGCCCCTGTTGCCTGCCGTGCGACCTCTGAGAACCGTGGCTTCATTTATTTTGCCCCATTTTTCAGTTGTTTAAAGGCAGGAGGAAAATCCAATTGCTGTTAATTCATCATGATCTGATGCTGAAGCCCACAGCATACTTGGGTTTTGAGCCACGTGTTTATTTTATGCCCCATTAGAGTGTGAGCTTCATGACCGTGAGAATATTTGGGAACGTTTGCCCGTTTTATCTCCAACTCCTGGCACCCTGTGGCATCTCAGGGACTATTTGGCAAATAGGGTGACCAACCATCCCAGTCTGTCCAGGGAAACTGCCCACTTCGCTCTGGAGGCTCAGGGCCTAGGGTCCCCAAAGTGGTTCAACTCTTTTAAAGAAAAATAAAATTGAGGGTCAAAGAAAATGTTGCATTTTTTTCCTCACGTTAGAAAAAAAAAAATTTAGGGCCCATGAAAATCTTAAATTTTGCCGTAAACATTATTATTACCGTGGAAGGGGGTCCATGAAACAATGGGCTTCTTTCAAGGCTTGCTTTTACGCTTTGTTAGGAGGGACCTGGTGTGGGGACCGAGGCCCAGAGATGCTGGGTAACTTGCCGAGGTCACACAGCAGGTAAAGCGGGGCCACGTGGGGACCCAGAAGTCAGCGCCTCCCCCGCCCCGCACTCGCTGCAGCTCCGCTAACATCCCTGTACAACTAGGCTAAAGGAAGAAGGGGCGCGGGCTGCTGCTGGGGTGCGGGGCTGACTAGCAGCACGGGGGTGAGTGGGCGAAGGGTGGCGGGCGGAAGCAGGGAGAGGGAGGGAGGGGCAGAAGAGTCCGTCCCCGTGGAGATGGCCCGTGCCCCATCGCGAGGTGCCCGTGCGTCTGAGGGTAGCGCGGGTGTCACTGCGGGGGCCTAGGCCTGGGCGCGGTTGGCTCTCCGCGGGGGCCGGTGGGTCCCGGTCCCCGCGGGAAGGACGAACTCGCGGGCGGGGCGGGGCGGGGCGGGGGCTGCGATGAGGTCACGCGCGATGGGCGGCTCTGCCGCGGGGCGGCGGCGCGGCGTGGTCACTGCGGGGCTCAAGGACGGACGCACCGTCAGACCCGGGCTCGCAGGGCCGGCGAGGGGTGAGTGCTAGGCGCAACGGGGGCTCATGGTGGTGAAGGTCATGGTTGAGGTCACCCCGACAGCCGCCCGAACTTGGGACCGCAGTCTTGGGGGCGGGCCTCTCCGGGAGGGGGCGGGAAGAGCTGGAGCCTCAGACCTTCGACATCCCGAGGTGCACGCCCGGAAAATGGGTCATGGAAGATGGATTTGTTGTTCTCGGGAACGGGAGGGTCTGATTTAGTTCCCCGAGGCGGGGACCCGGGGCTGGACTATCCGCGCGGGGAGGGGAGTCGTGCTCCAGACACCCCCTGAGACCCTTTCCGAGAGAGGGCATCTCCGCTCCAAACAGCAGATCCAGACTGGGAAGTTCTTGTCTTGCCCAAGTGCCCTCCTGGAGTGCATTCAAAGCACATTCCCCCTCAGGCTGGACAGAGCCCCGAAGCCTTCCGCTGCCGATCGGAAGCCCTGTGCCCCCCGCCCCCCCATCGGCCATCCCCTCGCGTCTAGGCAGCCGTTGGCCGGGGAGGAGGTGGCTCAGCCTAAAGAGGCCCCTGAGGCCCCTCCAGACCCGGCGCTGTGCCCCTGCGCAAGGCCTGAGCTCTGCAGTACTGACTCAAAACCCCAGGCAGGGCTCTGGAGGTCTTCCGGGAGAGGGGCCCCTAGCTGGGCCCTGAAAGTGTCAGGAAGTGGGGGGGGGGCCCACGCGGGGACACGCCAGGGGCAAAGGGTAGGGGGAGCAGTGAGGATAGACCCATCCCCGGGGCCCCAGGGCCCTGGGTGGGAGAGGGCTGGATGCCAAGCTCCTGGGCCCCTGCATCAACCATCCCCGGTAGACTGTGGGTTTGGCCTGGCATTCAAGGCCCCTCCAGGCTTCTGGCCTCCCCTTGGCACCCCACCCCTGCTTCCTTCTCATCTCATTCGTGTCTCCTCCTCCAGGAAGTCTTCCCTGACTCCCAGGCTGAGTTGGGGGCCTCCTCTGCCCAAACCTGTGGGTCTCTCAGGCCCTGCTGTGACCACCTGTCCTCATCCCCCTCTGTGCAGGGCTATAGCGCCTCCAGTCGACCGGGAGCTCCCAGAGGGCAGGGGGTTGTCCCACCCGCTCTGTGCCCTGCCCCAGCCCTGGCCTGAGTTGAATCGAAGACCAGCTGCCCTCCACTTCCCTGCTCCCACTCTGCCCTCTCACCTCCGGCCATGGTGCCCCTGCTCGCCCTGTTCCTGGTGGCCTTGGTGGGCCTACCCGTGGGTAAGATGGATGGAGAACAGAGGGATGGACAGACCCACCTTTGGGGGCAGGCAGGCTGGAGGGGGCGGGGGCGGAAATCCCAGCGATCGCCTCTCCTCCCAGCTCTTCTGACCTGGGGAAGCTGACGGGACCAGGGGCTGATGGGCTGGAGGAGGGGGCCTCTCGCTGTTCTCTGACCCCATCTCCCTCCGGCCCGGCCCCGGCCGCAGCCCAGGCCCTGGACTGCCACGTGTGCGCCTACAGCGGCGACAACTGCTTCAGCCCCATGCGCTGCCCGGCCATGGCCACCTACTGCATGACCACGCGCACTTGTGAGTCGCTGGGGTGCCCCTCACAGCCCTGCCTGCGGAGCGCGGCGGCGGCGGCGGCGGCGGCGGCGGGTGGGGAAGTGTGAGGGAGCTGGGGAGGGAGGCTCCCACCTGCCCCAGGATCCTTTTTGGGAGCTCCTGGCTTAGGGGAGCCTGGCCGAATGGCCCTGCATGCTGGGGTTGGCCCCCTCAGGGTCCTGGCCCACCTCCCCATCCCTCTGCAGACTACACCCCGACCAGGATGAAGGTGAGCAAGTCGTGTGTGCCCAGCTGCTTTGAGACCGTGTACGATGGCTACTCCAAGCACGCGTCCACCACTGCCTGCTGCCAGTACGACCTCTGTAACGGCGCTGGCCTTGCGGCCCCTGCAACCCTGGCCCTTGTACTCCTGGCCACCCTCTGGGGTCTGCTCTAAAGCCCCATCCCGCCCTCCACAGACTCAAGGGCAAAGTGCTGAGCAGCATGGTCCCACCCTCTCCCCCTGCACACCCCGCCTCTGCCCTCCCCAACCCCCACCCCCAGCCACAACCAGGAGTGTCTGCAAGAGGACCCTTGACCTCCCCCAGCCACCCGGGGGGTCTGCTTCCAGGTCATGACCTGTTGTTTTCAGAAGGCCGATGTGGGACCACACCTCCCAAGGCATCTGGCTTTGACGGGGCAGCTCAGCCCCCTCCTCTGTCCAAGGATGGGGGTGTGGGCACGGTGTGCTGTTTATGGGGGATCTTCAGTTGGCCGGTGAACACTGACGTGAAGGGGACCTCTGCGTCTGCCCTGTAAGTGTGCTGGAGGGGGAGGGGAGATTAGGGACCCAGGGGGTGGGGAGCAGTCCTAGAAGAAGGCTCTCCAGGGCCCCAGGAGGGCTGCCCAGGGCAGGTGGGGCATGGCAGGCCGATCGGGGAAGCCCTGTGCCCCCCACCCCCCCGTCGGCCGTCCCCTCGTGTCTAGGCAGCCCTTGGCAGGGGACGAAGTGGCTCAGCCTAAAGAGGCCCGTGAGGCCCCTCCAGACCCGGCGCTGGGCCCCTGCGCAAGGCCTGAGCCTGAAGAGGCCAGGCTATATTTGGTCGAGCTTGAGAGCTGATCTCAGGACTATTTTGGGCCAGGAGGGAAGGGAGCAGAGCGGTAGCCACCCGAAGCCTGACCTTCAGCCCTAAGCAGGCCCTGGCGGAGTGCGCCTCTTTACGGAGGGCGGGGGTTTGGGGCGGCGAACTTTGCCGGGGCGCGGAGGATTCGCCGGGGCGCCGTGGATTCGCCGGGGCGGGGACGGGGGCGGTGCATCCTTGAACCGGAGCGGGGCGCCCTCTGGTGGGCGCTTGGGGCCACGCCGGGCAGGGGTGGGCTCTGTCCGCCGGTGGGGAGGGGAAGGGAAGGCAGGGTCCGGGGGAGGAGGGGAGGAGGGGAGGAGGGGACGGGAAAGAGGG